GGCCCTGAACCTTCCTTTTTAAGTAAAAGTTTTAAAGTATTTACACAGCTTGACGGTATCAGATTTTTGAACACTTCTTTGTATTGTAAACATCTGAATATGACTTTAATCTAAAAGATGAAAAATTCTAAATATTACATGTTTTCTCATGAAAAAGAAATCTTCATTTATCTTTATGTTTAGCTGAGTTGACAATATGAGGGACTTTTTTTTTTTTTTTATCCAGTAACAACTTTAACCTTTCCTAACACTTTCTAGCAAATTACTGGACACATCGAATGATAGTAAATATAGGGTGACTATGAATTGCTAGCCTTGTAGAATATTATGGTGTTACACTGTAGGAAGCCAGACATCCTTAGTGTTACAGAGATTATTTTGACTTACTTTTCTGTGATTGGAAAGAAATTCTATTGTCTGGCAGTTTGCCCCTCTCTATCCATTTTTTTTAATGTGAGAAAATTGAGATAACACTTACTAACTGACCCTTGCTGTCAAGTCTAACAGTGAGCAGTCTCAGTGTATCAGAAGAATAGAAAATATTCCCTACAGCCATTGTGCTTTTACCTCAAGCTGCAATTCAGTCCTGAATTGGTTTTCTATAGGACACTGATATTTCACAAACTGACCATGTTATGTGTTCATTCTTTAAATGGTAAAAGAAAATCTTCACTAAAATTAGTTTATTCATGGAGACGAAGCCTGTATTCATTTGCTGTGGTTGCCATAAAAAATTACTGCAGCGGGGTAACTAAAGACAGAAATTCATTAATATAATTAATATTTGAATAAAAATGGGGCACAATTAAGCAGTCTTTTTCTTTAGGATACATACAAAGACCCATTACAAAAGTCACAAGAATGAATAAAATTCTAGGTTTTTGTTACCTCTAGGAAAGGGGGTAGGAACATACAGTACCTTCTAGGATAGTTACTTTCATGGCATATTTTTTCACTGGGCTTAGATTTTTCTTATCCTTAAAACTGTATACATTTATTCTGTGTGCATGTCATACCATCAGTAATGAATTTATTGAAAAGGAAAAAGATATATTAAAACACTGTACATGAAGAGACCAGAAATAAGACATTATAAAGTATCTATTTTCTTTCTAGTGCTTTTTTGTCTTTTTCATCTTTTTGCAATCTTATTTCTCCCACATATTACAGAATGCCATACTAAATAAATTTATCAGGAGAAATACACAGATTATATAAATAGCAGAGGGAAATTACTTTCAGTTAATGCATTTTTATGCATTTGTATTGGAATGTAACTCATATACAGTAAAGTGCCCAAAATCTTAAGTTCCTAAATCTACAACTTGATGAATGTTTTCCTCAGGATAACCCAGGATAGTTCTAGCAACCCACCAGAATTCCTCAGTCCTCCTTATGTTGATTGATTACATTCCTAAAGCTGATCTCTTATCACCTTTTATTAGTTTTGACACTTCTGGACTTTAAGAGTCAGGCAGTACTATCCTCCAGTGTCTGAATTCCCTTTGTTA